TTCTCACACATTTACTGTTCCCCCTACCCAAAACAAAAGAAGACAACACAAAAAAATGGAGGCACTCACTCTCTTTGTCACCGCGCCACTGTTTGGGTGCTTGGGGGTACAGAAGTAAAAAAATAAAAAAAGCAGCTCCCAAGAAGCCCATGGTCGGGGGGGAATTAGCAAGATAAACATGTCCTGTGATAGGACATGTGCCTTACGATAAGGCAGGAGGGTGTTAGGATAGAATGGCAACAGTGAGGAGGAAGATTTAACCAGGAGTCCAGGAGGTTCACAGGAGAGGTGAAGTTTAAAGAGGGCAGGGGGCAAAAGCAGTCAAACTGTGATCTTCCTGGGGACCATGAGCAGGAAAGAGATGTTGAGGACAGGAGGGCTTTCTTGAATCAAAAGAAGCCACATTGGAAAAGAAAAAGAGAAAGAATCTTCCTCTCTCCCCTTGCTCCTCTCTGGGTGTTTTCCTGTCAGGCCAGGGAATTTTTCACCACAGAGGAATCAAACATTCTTAGATTGCAGAGTGAGACAACTCGCTCTTGCATGTTCTTTTAAAAGCATGTTGCAACAAAACTGGTGACCTGGTAAGAACCCACAATAGGTTGTCTTCTTTTTTTTTTTTCCTTCCTTTGCTTCCCCTTTTACCTGAAATGGACAAATGTGACATATACCACCAACACTGATAAATTAGACAGCCACAAAGCCTGAGCCAAGCAACTTTGGAGAAAGTAAATATTTTTGTAGAAATCACACATGCGCAATAATCAAGGGACAAAGAAATTAGCAAACTCTTTAAGTTACATTCAGAGCCCTATCCCTGGCATTTACTTGAAAATATTAAGTACCTTCAAGGCAAATCACTGAAGTGGCTGAACAATCTCTACTGCAATATTTAATGATGCTTATAAATCCTAAAACCCTCACAGGGCCATTGCTGGCTGGCAGTGGAAGAGCGATGTTTCTGAAATTGCGAGTGCTTAATTTTATCTAACAAAGTCAGTTATCAATAAAGTCTGCATCCATGTCTGAATCCAATTCGTCTCTTCCTCTGTCATTCAGGATGTCCAGGAATCTGTATGAACAGAGTTGGCAAACTCTCGCTGTAGAAGTCCAGATAGTAAATATTTTCGGTTTTGCTGGCCAGGGTGTCATTGTTGCAACTACTCAGCTCTGTCACAGAAGGCAAAGAGCAGCCACAAATAATCTGTAAACAAATACAGGTCTGTGTTCCAACAAAACTTTATTTATGGACACCAAACTTTGAATTTCATGTAATTTTTATGTGGCATAAAATACTGTTCTTCTTTTGATTTTCTTTAAACCATTTAAAAATGTAAAACCTATTCTTAGATCGTCACCACACAGAAACAGGCAGTGGGGTGGATTCAGCCTGTGCCATCATCTGCCCACCTCTGATTTTGAATAATGGGTTGGGCTATGTGGGAATGGAACAAAGAACACAAACTTTGCCTTTCCACAGTCCTTAGATCCAGGCCACTGGGCGAGATCCTTAACCTCCTGGGCCTCTGTTTCTGCTCTCTAAAATGAAGACAATCAAAGGGCCTTGGTGAGGATTAAATGAGGTGACGGGTGGGTCTTGACAGAAATTCCTGAAGAATCCAGATAGTTGAGCTCAGGAGGGATCTGAGTGCTCCTTAAATGCCAGCTCTCTTTCTTTCCCTGACTTGCCAGTTGTCTTTGGACCTGTGTTTGTTGTTTACTTCTTTTTCTTTATATTTAATATATATCTTCCTTGTAGCAACAGATTCAGTACAGAAGTATGAGAATAGATTTGCTCCTGATGGGAAGAAAATCAGCCTCCTCCCTGTTGACTTGGACCCTTGCAGCCTGACTCGTTTCCTTTTGGTGTTGGTGCCTGAACTGGCCCCTGAAGGGCAGGTATCAGCTACCATTAAATATCAGGGAGAGGCTAATGAAGCCACAGCTGATTGATCAAGCCGGATGCCATCTCCCCGTGAAGGCATCCCCACAGGGACGCGGGGTCTCTTTGAGAGGATTTACAGCAGTGTCAAATGTCAGTGGGAATTATATGCATCTCATCTTTCTTAGCAGAGCTGTCACCCACTACCCACCTCCCTCAGGCTCCCCACAGTTGGCAATAATCAGTTACCAATCACAAAAATCACAGGTCAGAGCATCTTCCCTCAAGTTCAGTGTGTCTCACAGGCTGGATGGATGTGGGGAGGCATCCCTGACCGTCATAGATGGAAAAAGTGAACAATAAGCCCCGGGAAGAAACCGTCTTCCTGAGAGCTAGAGAATGGAATCCCAGTGGGATCTTCAGAATCATCAATAATTGATCCTTTCCAACTATGAAAATATCTGGAAGTTATTTTAAAGAG